CTCCCTTTTCATTGATTTTTGACTGTTTTTTCGTCACATAATATGTTGTAAAATGATCCCAAACTCAGCTACGTTTTCTTGAATCAGAGTTACTGACTTTTTCATTTTTGCCCTCAAATTCTTCGCCGTCATTTTCAGGGTCACCTTCAACGTCTATTTCATTTTCCGAGTCAATTTCTATTGCCTCGTCCTCCGGCTTCTCAGGGGAGTCCCCAGTAGAAGAGTAACCAATCCCACTATGCTTGCTGGATTCTTCATATCTTGACTGAAATAAAATATGAAATGCTCATTATCTTACATGAATGGAATGCATGTTTCATTAATCAAATCTGGCAGCCTTAAGCCCTAAAAGAATCAAACATTAGAAAGAAATAACCCTAGATCTAGAAATACCAAGCTTATCAGCAACCAAGAGGAGGCTTACAACAAGCTAGAGGCCACGGAGGTGATTCTTTATTTACAAAGGGAAAGAGCCAAATATTATCCTTAAGATAATAAATCAGTAGGGTTAGCTAAGTGGCCACAGGTCATGGAGGTGCGGAAACTTAGCCTAGATCAAAATCTTTAGCAAAAACAAAGCAGAAAACAGCAAATCTGACCAACTTCAATCCAAGTTTAAAACTTTTAATTAACACCATACTCCTCTGTTGAGGCATCAGGTTGTCTTCAAGCAAAAGGTCCAACACCATTTCAATTCCAAAATTTATTTTTCGTTCTTAGTCAAACACCACATTTAACTATAATTCAGCAAACACAGAGTCAACGACATAGGTAAACCTGGTTAATGAGACTATGAAAATCAAGCAGCCATGACATAGGTAAACCTTATATGTTCTATAAGCAGCCAAATCAAGCAAGCTTGAGCAAATAAAAACATAACCAGAAGCAAGCTTGAGCAAATAAAAACATAACCAGAAGACAAAGAACACATCCATGACAAACCAAATAAAAGGACTACATGGTTTCTCATTAATTTTCTTTGAGTTAAGAAAGAATTACCATTCCCCAGCAAACCAAATCATTATAACCTTAATGGAAATTGAAACAGAAACTCGAGGTATCACTGTATTAAAGAACGACAAAGAAAAAAAAAGCCTAAATCTGATCCAAATTATAACGTCTAACCAGCACTCTGAATTGAAGATTTTATTTCGAAAATGGAAGCAATAAATTCAGAAATTATCTTTCAAGACCCAAACTTCTTTTTGAGACAAATAACTAAGAAATTATCTTACCATATTAGTTGGTAAGCAGTGACTCAATGAGGTCGCAAGGCAAGGCAAATATGAAAGCAAGCAGTGACTCAGTGACTCAGTGAGGTCGCAAGGCAAGCAGTGACTCACTCAGTGAGGTCGCAGTCGTAGAGGCAGACGCAGAGATGCAGATTGTAGTCAGGCAGTCACTCGCAGAGGCAGATGCAAATCGCAGTCAGGCAGTCGCCGATCACTTCCACCGCTTCCAGATATGTAAGCAGGCAGTCGCCGCAGAGGCAGATGCAGAGATGCAGATTGCAGAGATGCAAGCAGAAACAGCCAGGTGACCAGGTCGCAAAGGCAGAGGCAGATATGCAAGGCGACGACACAGAAGCAATCAGACACTCAGACTAGTCAGGAGTCGAAGTGCAAACCCAAAACCACAAAACCAAATCTATAACCTAGCTGAACTAATTAAAAATTTAAAAGTTTAAAATATAACATTTATTTATTATATGGTGCGGTTTCGGTTTCGGTGCGGTTTTGAAAACCTAAAACCGAAACCAAACCGTTTTGTGTGCCGTGGTTCAGTTTTGAAACCAAAACCGTTTCAAAACCGCAAAACCAAACCGTTTGGTGCAGTTTGATTCGATTTGTGTTTCGGTTTCGGTTTCAGTTTTTGGTTCCAAGTGCCCACCCCTAGTTGTTAGAAGATAAGAATTAGTTTAGAAGGGCAATATTGTAATTCTACTCAATCTAGTCTCTATATAACCATTGTTTTGGAGACTTTAGAGTTTCATCATGTAATCAATTTTGTATTAGAACAATATAATTGAGAAGCTTATCTCGCTCTCATCATTCTCTCTCTTCGATTTCTTCAGTTTCTTCATTCATAAGAATTCATTAATCTTGTACTGTTAATATGGTATCAGAGCCATTTCCTCGCCAGATGAAGTATCGTTGTGGGGTGGGGTCCCCTTATAAGCCATTATCAACCATTATAAAAGAGTAATACTAGGGGGATTAAATTTCTAGACTAAATTTCTATTCAGTAATACGGTCTGGTGGTATTCCTCTTCACTTGAAAGTGAAAAGTTTTAGATTCGAATCTTATGGATGACGAATTTGATACCAAATTAGGCTGCTTATTGTGTGGCTTGGCCGAACTCTCCCTTCCCTTAGTATAAAAATATCAATGTACTAAAAAAACAAAAATTGTAGACTAAATTTTGTAAACTAAATGATATGGAAGTTGAGTGATTAGATTATTACTTAAACATCGATAAGTGTGCTCATTTTCTATTGGTGACATCATTTAGTTTATAAATTTAATCTCCCCAGCATTACTTATTATAAAATTTACACTAAATTTGCAACTTTTATAATCCCTTCTTTTAAAAAAAAATAAAAAAAACATTTATCCACTAAGTTGTGGCGAAGGAAAAGAATTCCAGTGAGTCGGGCGCTGAAACGTGCTAAACTCAAGGTGTTATCTTTACGGCCCGCTACTATTCTTTCGTTACTATTCATATGCCCCTAAACTCTAAACCTCATGGGTCTCCACTGCTTCAGTTGTGCTTTGGACCTTACGAGGACATGAATTTGGGCTGCGTCTGCCTATGCCTTAATTTTATTTATTTTATGTTTTATTTCCTATTTTTGTTTTTCACCAACAATACCAAACTATCATCTTTCATGTTCTACATAATGCACTTTTGATGAAAACTTTCTTATAACCCATCCCCCAATCCGACATCGACGAGATCGAAAACCTAATAACGTCAGCGTCCAATCGAGCCTCACTATCATCCTCCCTGCTATCGTCGATTTCGACCTACCCTACTCGACGGTGGCGTTGCAAACCTAGGGAAACCAAAAAACCATTTGGCCGTGGAGATTTACGCTCTGCGACCAAACGGTTTTTCTCCTTCCGGGGTGTCTTATCCTTCTTGATTTCCTGCACCGACCTTGTCGTGGTCGCCAGAATCTACGGCCCTCTTGGGTCCTCCTACAACCCGTGGAGAGGAAGAAGTTGTTGGGCCATGTGTTGTTGACCTACTTATTATTCGGCCTTTTGTGTTAAATTTTATATACAAGTTATTAAAAAAAAAAAAAAAAACTAACCAGACTGAAATCGGACCGAAAACCAAATGAAACCAAACTCACTCCTACTATAGCGTACGGTACAGGGCACACTGAGTCGAGGGCAAGCAACTAGGCAGGGATTAACTGGAGGGCTTACAAGGGGAGCTAGGGTTTTGTCTTCGAAATTTATGTTAGCTTTCTTGGAAAGCAAGCTACCCAATAGCCCAAGTTAAAATCATTTTTTTTTAAATTTTTTTTTAATTTCTGGGGTTAGAAATTAAAATTAGGGTGTGGACTATAATTAAATAACTAATTTGGAAAGATAAATTGAAAAATAAAAATAGACAAACACAATCGAATGTGAATGTTCACTCACGAGTCACAAAAGCAAAATGCGGGTTGCTCCACCGCTAAAATGTTAATTTTTCCATATCTTTGTGTGTCTTAGTCAAAACTACTTTATTTATTGGAGGTGGATTGTCTGCCCTCCCATTTTCATACTCTTTCCATCCCCTTCTATCGTGTGATCACGCTTAAGTCTCGTCAACATTTTATATTGATTTTTTATAAAAATTATAAAACAAAAAGTAATAGGAATATAAAATATTGACGTGACTTAAACGTGACCATACAAAACAGAAAGGAATGAAAAGAATATGAAAATGGGAGGGCAGACAATCAACCTCCTTATTTATTAGCCATGGGATGGATAGAATTTTGTAACGAGAAAAAGTATTAAAATAAGGAATAAAATAAATTATTGGACCCAAATCACATATTCTTTGTTCTTGTATTTGTCTTGTTCCCCAGATTTGGCGGTTGAAAGGTGATAAGTTCGTATTTTCCACGCAATTCATAAACGCCAAGGCCCTATATCCTTCTCAATCTTAATATTAAAAAAAAAATGCATGTTACAAAAATATAAAATAGTTAGGGGATTTAATGATCCATTTCTTTCAGATATTTTTAATTTTATATTTCTAAAATTAACACGTTTTGAATTAACCTAAAGAGGAAGATTCAAACTCAGTGAAAGAGACGAGCACACTGCATTCGCCGACTGAACTAACCGACGCATGCTATTTTCTTACGTTTGGTGAGGAAGAGGTAAAAGAATCAAGGAGTTCAAAGGGGATTGGCTATGTGTAGTGGAGATGACCATCAATATCCTATCACGGTGTCAAAAAAAGATTAAATAAAATAAAAAAATAAAGGAAGGCAGTGGAGGTGAAAATATAATATTAGTCATCTTCCCTACCAACTATTACTTATATGGTTGACGTGGACGGTACCATTGCTCAAGATTTAAGATTGAACTTCATTTCGATTCTTGCTTAAATCTTATCATTTCGACAAATAAATTATTTTATAATAATTCCAAAATTGTTTTTCCTTCAACGAGATATTTGTGCTTAGAAATGCAAGATCTGGTGTAAGTCGCATAATAAATTAAAGCTCGTTTGAATGTATTTTTAAAATGACTAAAAGTACTTTTAGAGAAAATATTTTTAGGTTTCAAAAGCACTTAAAGTGCTTTCTGCAAGAAGTACCAGTTACGTGCTACTTCCAAGAAGCACTTTAAGTATTTTTCTAGGATTTACTTGCATCTTTACCAATTATTGATTCTATAAACATTTTCACCAAAAATGATTTTAGTCATTTAGTCATTTCAAAAGCGCATCTAAACGAGTTCTTCGTGATAATAATTGGATACTAAAGTCGTCCAGCAAATAACTCGATTCTAAGACCTCATAATTTCAAGTAGAATAAATACAGTTAGACCGTAACTACTAAGTGACAATAATATTTGAAACAAAAACCTTTAAAGTACGTTCAAACATGAAAGTTGCTTCCTCTGAGGAGCGCCTGAATTTCCAAATTTATCGTTTGTAACGTGCACACAAAGAACGGCCAACCTCCCCACGTCACCTTCCAGCGCAATCGAACCCTTTTGCCCAATTCTGCCTCCAACATATTTTTGAATCTTTTTTTTTTTTAATTAATTTTTTATTTTAATTTGGTGAGGAATGGGATCATATCCTTCACTTTAAAATTAAGCTAGCTTATTATTCTACTTCCTCTATAAATTCATAATCCTCCATGAAGCTGGAAGCTAACCTCAAGACTTCGCCATGAGGCTATGCCTCGTCCTGGTTTTGATAGCCAGGCTCTTCGCAAACGCGGAATCTCTTGGCAGAGCTGATTTCCCCGACGGGTTTGTTTTCGGAACAGCTTCTTCAGCACACCAGGTATTCCTTTGTTTCGGTTTCAATATCTCGACAGAGCTTGCATGTCAAATAGCAGTTTAACCATTCATGGGGTCTTGTATGTGGTGTAGTTTGAGGGCGCTGCAAATGAAGGAAACAAGGGAGTTAGCGTATGGGACACTTTCGCGAAAGAACCAGGTATGAATTCAAATTCAATGAGGCATTTTACATGATATGCAAAAAACAAAGAGAAATTTACGGAAGATATGATCGGAAGAAGCGGCTTTGAGATTGTTTTGTTTGTTTAACAGGGAGGATTCTGGACTTCAGCAATGCAGACACAGCAGTTGATCAATATCACAGATTTCAGGTGAACACAACAGTGACCTAAGTTGACTTTCTGGAGTTTTAACCTTACAAGCAATAGCAGATTGTCTCAAAGTTTTCTTTTCTTCCAAGTCTTTTTTTAGTTCAGACAAGTCTTTCCTAATAAAATTAGGAGAAAATTAGAGCAACGGTCCCTTAACTTTAGTCTAATTGGAGCTTGGGTCCCTGACAAAAAATCAGTGACCATTGCCCCCCCTGAACTTGTTAAGAGTGTGGAGCAATGGTCCTTTTGAGTAAACCCATTAGAACTTTCATACCTTATTTATCCCATTAAATTCTTTATTTTGGATAGAAGTTCTAACGGTGTTATTATAATAGCATAACACAAAACATATCCAGAGTAAATAAATGGCAGAGTTCAAGTATATTATAAATTACTAAACTAAACTTAATATTTGCAGAGTGATATAGAGTTGATGAAGGATATGGGAGTGGATGCATACAGATTCTCAATATCGTGGCCAAGAATTTTTCCAAGTAAGATTTGATTCTGTCCAGATTTTCCTTTTCTCTACCTCACTGTCTTCTGATTACTTACTGCTTTCGAAAATAACCTGAGACAGACGGAAGAGGAGAATCCAACTCAGAAGGAATAAACTACTACAACAGCCTTATAGATGCTTTACTCGAAAAAGGTATGCAATGAGACCTCAATAAGAATATAATTCTTAGCTAGAGAATTATTTTTCAAGATTACAATTCGATTGCTTTTACAACGCCATTGAAATGCATAACTGATTTTAAGAAAATAATTCTTTCTCAATGACAACGTTATTGAAGGTCAAACTATTCTTTTCGATTAGGGATCAAACCTTTTGTAACTCTATATCACTGGGATCTTCCACAAGCGCTTGAAGACAGATACGAAGGGTGGTTGAGTGCAAACATAATGTAAGTATCAAACAGCTGCAGAAAAGGATTTGAAAATGCTGAAAAAAACTTATCATTTACCTCACTTGCTTACAGAAAAGACTTTGAACATTATGCCTTCACCTGCTTCAAAACCTTTGGTGACAGAGTTAAGAATTGGATCACCTTCAACGAGCCTCATGGTAATGCACTCCAAGGTTATGACTTGGGCATACAAGCTCCGGGGAGATGTTCTATTCTTGGCCATTTGTTTTGTAAGAAGGGAAATTCATCTGCTGAACCGTACATTGTTGCTCACAACATCCTCCTGTCTCATGCTGCCGCTTATCATAGTTACCGGCAATTTTTCAAGGTACCCTCATTTCTGTATAATTATACTTCCTAACTCAACTAGTAAACTTTATGCCATATGTTAAAGAAAATGACACATGGAACTTATGTTGTTTTACTGAACCATCTAGGAGACACAAGGAGGCCAAGTAGGAATTTCATTGGATGCCAAATGGTATGAGCCTGTATCTGATAATGATGAGGACAGAGATGCAGCACACAGAGCAATCGATTTTTCATTGGGATGGTAATTTCTTTGTAAATGTTCTATGCATCACAGACACCAAAAATTGTATAAACACGCATAACACAGAAAAGTGAATCAGGTTCCTTGATCCACTATTTTTTGGCGAATATCCACTTTCAATGAAGAAGCTTGTGGATAAGAGATTACCAGAGATTTCGCAGGAAATCTCAAATTTCCTGGTTGGAACCTTGGACTTTGTTGGCCTAAACCACTACACCACATATTATGCTCGAAATGACAGGACTCGGATTCGAAAGTTCATAATGCAGGATGCTACATCTGATGCTGCAGTCATTTCAACCCGTAAGATGACAAAACACTTTGTACCCGCTTGTAGTGTTTGGTTGCTGGAATGATCACCGGAATGGAATTGAATGGAATGAACGCTGAAAGAGTTAAGGTCAAAGTAGGACAAGTAAAATTGGTAAGGAAAGCAATTGGAATTATAAAACACTTTGGGCGAAAGGAAATTGCCCATTCCAATTTTTTTTTTTCCTGTCGACCAAGCAATGGTATGGGCATTCCATCCGGCATATTCCTGCGTATGGAATGTCTATTCCATTCCAAGGTCCATTCCAGAAGACCAAGCACTACCTAATTACAAAAGAATCAAAAATCAGGATGTCAACTGATTATTATTATACCTGGCTTTCGTTGTAGCATACAAAGGAGGAGTGGCAATCGGAGAAAGAGTATGTCTCAAACCCTTCCTAAAACCTTGAATTCAGTCACTGATTTCATATTTAAGAAAGCTCGTCGGTGCTTCCTCCTCCAGGCAGCTTCCCGCTGGTTGCGCATAGTCCCATGGGGCATCCGAAAGTTGGCAAGACACCTGAAAGATAAGTATGGGAACCCCCCGATGATAATAACAGAAAATGGTGAGTAGACTAGATTCAAATTCACAACTTACAATTCAAAGTTTCATGAAATAACAGATGTTCAAATGCATGAGCACAGGTATGGATGATCCAAATAAACGTTTCATACCTTTAGAAAAGGCTTTAAACGACGAAAAGAGGATAACCTTTCACAGGGACTATCTCTCGAACCTATCTGCTGCTATAAGGTAATAACCACTCCCCACTTCGATATCTTTGTGAGGTTATTTTGTGACATTTCTAGAACTCCAACATTGTACACACAAACTTAACAGAAAACTCAATCAATGCAGGCAAGACAACTGTGACGTGCGTGGTTATTTTGTGTGGTCACTGCTCGACAACTGGGAATGGAACATGGGATACACTGTTCGGTTCGGTCTCTACTATGTGGATTACAAGAAGAACCTGACAAGGATTCCTAAAACTTCAGTACAGTGGTTTAGAACACTTCTCCAAGTTAACGATGACCCGAGACGCCACATCTAACAAAATTCTTTTGCTACAAAGCATATAAATAACAATTTGTACAGATGCCATGAATATATCAAAGCAAAAATCTATGAAATTTCAATGATGAAATCCCAAAAGTCCAAACCTTCTTATCTGTCTATTCCAACTAACAAATTAGACAGACAACATTGAACCAAAACAAAATACATTAACTAAAACAAAAACATGAGTTCACAATCAAGCATCACAAAATCGATGTCCATCAGAAGCAGTAGATTCCAATTTACAGCAACCCAAATTGCTTTGATTAAATTTTCAATTAACTGACTTTAATTGTGTTTCTGAACAAAAAGAAAAACACAAAATTTGTAGAGAAATAATCAAAGAGCGCGGGAAGAATGGCATGCATACCAGCATTTTTCCCGCAGAGGCGAAGTAGGGCTCGAAACGATGAGGTCGGAACCGTCTCAGGCGATTGTTACCATGTTTGGTCTATCAGGACGCCATCGGCCGTATTCTGGGAGCACCCTCCCAAAGATTTTTATTTTTAATCTTTAAAATGAATTACAAGTTCTAAAAAAACATTAGGCGCTAATCGGGTGGCAAGTTGGCGCCTAGTGTCTAAGCGATTTAAGCGGATTTAGGTAAATTTCTTGTATATCTTGTAAATAAGTGCATATTGACACTTACAAAAAATTAAATTTGTATGAAATCCATGAATAAGATAACAAAAAATTAAATTTGTATGAAATCCATGAATAAGATAATAAAAGAGTATTCAACAAGTCCAAAATTTTAAAACACATTAAGCATATATGTCATATATAACCATAGTAAGGAGTATTGTAGGATGACACATGTACAATAAGTTCACAATTTAAAAACACATAAAATGCAAAATAGGAGGAAAATAAGGAAATATAGTAATGTAGATAGGATTTTTTTTTTAATTTCAAAAAAAAAAAAAAACCTCCTAGCCGCCTAGCACCGCCCAGCCTGCCACCATCATCCAGTGCCTAGGCCGTTTTTTAGAACATTGATTACAACCGGTGAAGACCGCTTTTCTAAAAATCTCCAGCAATGATCTGTTACTGTTCTGATTAATTATTAGACGTTTGAAAATTAAGAAAATGTGGCTAGGTTTCTTTAGGTGTTCACCTTGTTTCTCTAGATCCATCTATGCATCCGCCTACATCGTGACTCTCGCTTAGGCATTTTATTTTCGTTCAATAAATTGTAAGAGATTTGTTGAATAATTGGATGAAAACTTATTATATGCTTGTTTTCTATATTTTCAATATGACCTACCACTTTAAAGGAAAACTAATGAAAAATAGTTTGAAAACTTTGAGTTTTAACAATAATGACAAAATAAAGGGTAAAGTGAATAATACCAGGATTAACTTTTTAGTGTAAAAATGTGATTTTTTGTTAAAATGAATAGTACCGAAAGTTTTTCGTTAAAATTCTCATACTTTAATTTATATGCCATCTTACTTTGTAATTGATGTATTTCAATATAATTATGTTCACCTAAACTCTTGCCTACACTACGTCTAACTGCCTAGACGCAAAGATCTCAACAAACCGCCCGACTAGGGCTATCAGAGCAGCTCCAGCGTGTGTTGGAGGTCGAGGGACAAGCCTACGAACAGTGGCAAAGAGCCCGAGCAAGCAAGCCCAGGGTGTGCTGGCGAGGGAGCTTGAGCATGCCCGAGGGAAAGGCCCGGCATGAGTTGCTAGCCCGAGAGCTTGAAGGCAATGTGACGTGGGGCGACGTCAGGGCGACGCCAGCCATAATATAAAATTAATAAAAATATAAAATATTATTAAAAATTTAAAAAATGTAAAACCCAGCAGGCTTCGACTTCACCGCATCACCCTAGTCTCTCCTCCGCTGCAGCTGCCACCGCACCCCACACTGCCTTCGCCTCCACGCACTCGCGATCCCCCTCCTTCCACTCGCGCACCCATATCGCACGATTTGGGATTTGTTTTTGGGGGAGAGAGAGAGAGAGAGAGAGAGAGAGAGAGAGAGAGAGAGAGAGAGAGAGAGAGAGAGAGAGAGAGAGAGAGATTTTAACTAAGGAGTTGGCGATCCTTTACCTACTTAACTAAGGAAAAACTGTGAATTTTTGCACTGATCGGCTATTGATGTTGTCAGAGTCTCAAGCCCTACCTCAGGAGCTCAAGTGAATGAGAGCTGCTGAGCTTGAAAAAGAAAGAAAAAAAAACACAGAGCTTTTGGAATGGTGCATTGGCACCATGCGAAAAGAAGCAGAAAAAAATAATAAAAAAATGAGAAATTAGGTTCACATTCTTTCTTTTGTTACTCCATTGATTAAGATCCTATTCATTTTCAATTTTTTATCAAAGTCCTTGGATATTAATAACATCATTAATTATTTGAATAATAAAATATTTTTATTTTTAAATATATTCCTTTAGTGTTAAAAATGTTACAATTAGTATATTTATATTTATGGCTAAATTTTTTATCATATATTTTTATTGTACCTATTTTTAATTTGTACCAATTTTTTTTTCATTTTTAATTTGTACCCATATATTAGTTTCTTTTTGTGCCCACATTTTTTAAAGTTTTATTTGTGTTTGTACCCTATGTATATTGTCACGTGACATTGTATATTTAATCAATGATAGGAAAATTACATATGATATATTTATGTTTTATGCCTAAACTTTGTATCATATATTTATATTTTTAGTTTGTACCCACTTTTAATTTGCAACATTTTTTTTTAAATTTGTAATATTTTCTTTTTAATTTTATTTTGTACCCATGTATTAATTTCTTTTAGTGCCTATATTTTTTAAAAATTCATTTTTACTCATAATTTTTTAATCTTTTATATGTATCCTAATTTATTTATAATGTACCCATTCATTTTTATTAATGTACCACTTTGTTATATGTGAAATGTACCAATATTTTTTAACACTATGAATACATTCTTTTGCCATTTATTATTTCTTATTTATACATAGTTTTTACTTTTTATCCATTTATTCAATCAAAATGTTTGAATTTTTTTATTGTAACAGTTTCTAATAGTAATATAATGAGGGATTTTAAATTTATAGGATTATAAATCTCATAAAATATCAAACAATTAATGTCAAAACTATAAAACTATAAATATTAATTGTAATATAATGATGTGTACAAAGTTAATGAACTTTGATCAAACTTTGAATATCATTAAGGTTTTAGTCAAAGAATGTTAAGGATTAGGAACCGTAACCAAAGTATCCCTAAAAAAAATGTTTTGGAATGGTGCATCGGCACCATGTGAAAAAAAAACAAAGGTTTTGGAATGGTGTGCACCAATGAAAAGAAAAAATTAAAAAAATAAAAATAAAATTTTTAATAGAAAGTGGTACAACGAAGCCGATTAAAAATCATATCCGAAATTACAAATAAAATTATTTTGTATTATTTATAAAAAAAAAATACTAATATTTTATTGCCTATTAACATGACTATTCAGTGTAGAGATGAAAATACAAAAGATAATTACTGTTTATTAAGAATAATTACTATTCACTAGATGAATTAAATAGTGAATAGCATGGGACTTTAGAAGAAACGGTGGAACTGCTCTCATCTTTTAAAATTTTTAAAAGGACAAAAAGGAAGGGTGGGTTTGAATAATCTTTTGACTCATAGTGCAAAAGGTGAAAAGATATTCATAAAACTAGGGGAAAAATCAGAAACGCACCCTACCACACCAGGCGGCCTGCAAACGTAAGAATTAGATACAGAAAAACACCACTCGGAGCCACCGTTCAAATCTGTTCAAGCCTTTCTCCTTCACTCCTTGCCCCTCTCACCTCACCAATAATTATACACACACACACACACACAAATATACGCCTCAAGAATCAAAACACGCACAAATAAAAAGAAAATTAACGTTGCTGTCTGTCTGTGTTTGCTTCTTGATATCAAAGCTCTAATTTTGTGCCGGCATTCGGTGCTTCCTCGCCGAACCCCGATTGTGTCCCGGTGCAATTTCTATTTTTGCCCATGAAACGAGGGTACTCGGAATCGTCCTCCACCTCACTCGGGCCTCCCCAGTCGAGATTCAAACACAACCCAGAAGGTGGAAATCGTAAACCCCTTTTGTTTTCTGGTTCGGATTTGTGATTTCTTCTGGTAAATTGGTAATCTTTTAGGTTATTTCGGGAGTTTTTGGATCTGGGTTTTGTGGGTTTTTGCTGATAAGTGAAGGAAGAGGAAGAGTATTGCACAAGTTGAAAACTTTTTTTCTTATTTGTTTTGTGTTTTCGATTGCCAATTTATTGAATGTTTTCTGTGTGTCTGATTAGTGTGGGGGATTAATTCGAACCTGGGATTTTTAGTTCCCCACTATTTGGTAAACAGGGGAAATGGAGAAGAAGGGAATGTGACTAAATTTTGAATTTTCTAATTCTAACTATTTTTTTTTATAGCTGAAACAAAGCAAAGGAAATATATGTATATGTATGCATGTATGCATTTTCTGTGTGTGTGTGTGTCTAATAGCCATACAAAAGGAAAATTCAAAATTGAAAATTTGAAATCTTCATGGTTTTCTAACCATGGTTTATTACATTGTGGTCTTAGGTGATGCAGAATTCTTGGAGGATGAAACCACAAAAAAATTTGCACGTAAAGTGGCCGATCATTACAGTGCAAGGACGAATCAAACTCTAGAAGAACGAGAAGCTAGTCCAATCATCCATTTAAAGAAGCTTAACAATTGGGTTTGTCTTTTAATCTCCTTAATTAATACTTCAAAATTGTTTGATCACACTTCATACTTTTCAGCTGGTTATAGTTCCTTCTCTCGTTGAGCAGATTAAGAGTGTTTTAATCCAGCTATATGCTCGCAAAGGAGATGCTGTTCTGGATCTTGCATGTGGCAAGGTATTGGTGGTCCATTTGTATCTTTTCGTTTTCCCCTCCCTGCAACTAAGTATTCTCTTTTAAATGTAATTTATTTTCTAGGGGGGTGATCTCATCAAATGGGACAAGGCAAAAATTGGGTATTATGTTGGAATTGATATCGCTGAAGGCTCGGTAAGTATTTAAATTTGGTTATACTTGGCTTATTAGTTCGCATTTTTCTTTTTCATAAATAGCTTCGTTGAGTCTGTCTACTCTCTTCATCGCAGTTAACTAGTTATTGTCTAATGGAGTAGAAAACTTATTCTAGCACCATATTTTGCTGTATTCCCACTCAATTGCTGACCTACATTTCAGAATGCATAAATTTGCATTAGTAGTAATACATTTTTAGTTGGCCGACATTAGAGCTATGGTGAAGTGTCGTATTATTCATTAATGTTGGAAAATTTGCATTAGTACGTGTTGACTTCTAGTTGGCCTATTATAGCTATTGTGAAGTGTCATCTGTTCAATTCATCAATGTTTGAGAGAATTTTTTTTTTTCAATAGCTGTTTAGTTTTTATTTCATACGAAGGGAAAGTATTTTTTCTTGTCAAACAAGGAATGAGTTCTAGCAAACTGTACCATATATGGACAAATACAGGGTTTAGGATGATATGGCATTGTTCTGTGGGTGAGTTGAGACTTGAGAGGTTTTAATGCTATTTTTCTGACCTAGGAAAATTCTGTTTTATCATTGTGTGTGACTTACTTTTAGTTTTTCTTTGTCTTGCACCACCTCATCACGTAGCAATAGATTTCCCAGTTCTTATGACAGTAAAGATCTTTTTGAATGCCATCCTTCTCTTTCATGTGTGAAATCCTCTTTTCATGTGTGTATTTCTCCGATGAAAAATGAGTGACATCTTTTTGCGCAAGACCTTATCAAGAATGTTGGAAGTCAGTCTTGTTGTCTGCCTCTTGTCCTTAGTGTGATATATTTAAAAGTGTGCCATCATCAACAATCTTATTATTTTGTTCAAATATTTGTACAGATAGAAGATTGTCGTACTCGTTACAATGGTGATGCTGACCATCATCAGCATCGTAAAAAGTTTACATTTCCTGCGCATCTTATATGTGGAGATTGCTATGAGGTAATTGCAAATTGGATAGCTGCTAACTAAGTCATTGCTCTGTTCCTTGGGAGCTTGCCTTTGCCTCACTCAATCAAAGAAGAAGCCATTAGGAAGCAGCATATGTTTACCCTGCTTAGTGCGTCTGTAACGTATGATTATTAATGCTATGTATGTGCATGGTTTCAGGTTCGCCTGGATAAAGTCCTGGCTGATGATGCCCCCTTTGATGTTGTCAGTTGCCAGGTGAGCCTCTCATGCACTAATAGCTTTCTACCTTATATTGTAATGTAATTAAAAGATTTGAGGGGAGGAAAGCCTTTGAAACTGACTGCTTAAAACACATTTTATTCTGCAGTTTGCCTTGCATTATTCCTGGTCTACTGAGGCACGTGCACGTCGAGCCTTGGCTAATGTATCGGCTTTACTGCGCCCTGGCGGTACTTTTATTGGAACAATGCCCGATGCAAATGTGATTATCAAAAAGCTCAGAGAAGGTTTATCTTATGCCTTGATGATTCATTTCCTTTGAGAGTCATGTTAAACTGTGACCTAGGAAAAGGAAACAAATTTGACACTGTTAACTGTTGGCATTTGTCTCATAAGCAATATATTCTCCCTGGCCGAGTAAATAGTGAAAATTCATTAAAAAAAAAAAAGAATTTCCCATTTCACTCTCTTATGTTTAGCATTAAGATCTTGGGCATGGCAGACTACTTTCACCATTATTTATCGGAGATGGTATTTTCATTGTGATGTCCAGCTGAAGGATTGGTCTTTGGTAATAGCGTCTACTGGATACGTTTTGATGAAGACTTTTCTGAAAAGGTATGAATTTACTCAGACGCTTTATTTTTCAATGTGGCTATTCTCCAATCTGAGACATGAGTATTTAATTTATAAACTTTTTTTTTTAATTATTCCTAATTTGATAAATGCTTCATGTGTGGTTGCAGAAATTCAAGTCTTCGAGCCCCTTTGGTATCAAGTACAAGTTTCACCTGGAGGATGCTGTTGATTGCCCGGAATGGATTGTTCCCTTTCATGTTTTCAAATCGTTGGTTGAAGAGGTATACTTTCTTTCATCAGAAATGGTGACAGAAGTGCATTCAGAAGCACACTTCTAATTGAAAGGAGCTATTTGAAACATTTATCTACTTTTCGCTAAAAGTCTTCTCGTATTCATATAAATGAATTGACCTGTTGCAGTACGATATGGAGCTAGTTTTGGTGAAGAACAACCATGAATTTGTGCATGAGTACATTAAAAAACCAGAATTTGTGGAGTTAATGCGGAGGCTTGGTGCATTGGGTGATGGTAACCAAGATCAAAGTAAGTTTGTTTCCTATCAACTGTGACAATTTAGTTTCAGTTGCTTATTTATGATTTTTTTTTAATTAGCTTAATGCTTCTCATTTCTGCTTTGCAATATCCAGGTACACTATCGAATGATGAATGGGAAGTAGCTCATCTCTATTTGGCATTTGTCTTGAGGAAGGTGAGTGCACACTCCTAGACTCCTAGTACCGATGCGATTTTCCATTTTTATGTTGCTGTTACCATTATTATAGTCCGTTAGCATTTGCTGTGCGTTAAATCTATGTTCTTTCCAGCGAGGGGAACCTGATCGGACACAAGTAAACGGTAGGAGAGACATAGGGAAGATGCACATATCAAAAGAGGACGTCATGTACATAAGTAATGACTAATGCAACACCAATTATGTCTCGAATGTCCATTTTTACAGCAGACGAGCAATGAATTTGCACGGCAGGAGAAGCCTGCTTGGCGCTATGGGAAAGCGAAGAGCTCGACTCCCCGCACCGTTCTACTAGCTACGATTACAAGTGGATGTAATTGTTCAGTTTTGTAGATTAATTATGATCTAAGATTTGTAATTTTCATTGTAATCAATGCAGCAGAGGAAATAACTGTTTGTAGTATCTCTGCTATGAGAAATAGTTTTTTTTTGGCAAACTGAGAAATCCATTCCAGGGCCAAGAGGCCAAAGCAAACACCGAAAGCCAACACAAAGGCAAACACAAACAAACCACTAAAACAGTGCAGAAGGGTAAAACAAAGAGGACGCAGTAGCAAAGCTAAGCGTTGCCCTCTACACTGCCAAAAGGGGAAACTAATGAGGACAAGGTAAACCATCATTGTTCAGGACAAAAATCAACGAAGATGGGGGACGATTGATCCAAACAACATTACACATCTCCAAATTACCAAACGACGCAAGAAAATCTGCCGCCATATTGGCCGATCTTGGGACCCAAGACCAGCGACAATTCTGGAAAGATTCACCCAAATCCCAAGCATTAGCCAAGATAGGGAAAGCCTCACAATTGCCATTCAGAAGAGAATTTGAAAGACATGAAATAGATTCTAGAGAATCAGATTCAAAAATGACCGAGCTAAAATTCAAGGAGACCGCTAACTCACAACCACGGAGCAGAGCCAAAGCCTCGGCCATCGCAACACAAGACGCAAAAATGGGATACCTCACTGCAACAATAAAATCCCCCCTAGCATCCCGAGCCACCACCGCAGCAAACCCAGAATTATTCAACCGAGACCAGCTAGCATCCACGTTCAGTTTAACAAAAGGGGAGACAGGAGGGTCCACCTGCAAATCTGCCTGACTCGACCACGATCCACCGTCTGCGAGTTCTCAAGGACCAACCTGGCATTAAAGAACTCAGCAACAGAAATACCGATACCTATAATAACCTTAGAGGGAATGATAGGGACCTGGTTAAAGACATAATCACAACGGGACTTCCATATATGCCAACACGTGACAACCACATAAGTCTGAACCCAGTCTTTACTCGCCAAAGATCCCAAATTAGAAGTGAAGACAGCATGCAGCCAAACACCCCAGCTAGAGAAGCTCCCCAACTGGATATTGTACTTAAGAGCCCCACCAAACCAAATTGAATTGACCTATGGGCAGAGAAGAAAAAGATGCTCAATAGTTTCCTCCTAACAAAGACAGATTGGGCATATAGGGGTTGGAGAATAACGTATTCGAAACAGCACAACCACAGTAGCTAAAGCGCTGTGGAGAAAGCTCCATAGAAAAAGTCTAACCTTAGCCAGCACCTTGACCCTCTAGATTCCCTTCCACAGCAACTCCGGCACAGAACGAGTGATGGGGGGAACGATGATCTCTCAACGAAAGGGATTGCAGCTGTAACCATAAATAACCCGACTTGACCGAATAGCTGCCATTTCTGTTAGACGCCCAAACCAATCGGTCCTTCCTCCTAGGGTTCCCAATTGGGTTATCTCTAATTGCCGCACACTCCTCCGTCGACAGGAAGGGCAGGAGAAACTCAAAGTCCCAGGTCTTGGAAGATGGGCAAATTATAGAACTTACCCCTGTGCTCCTGGTCATTGAAACACCACCCGAGGGAGATGGATGTCTCGACGGTAACGCAAGCAGCCATCTATCAATCCATAGACGAACCTCCTCCCCACCCATGATCTGCTAATGAGCCCCCTTTTGAATCAAATCCCTTCCCACCAGAAGACTTGACTAGGCCCAAGAAGCGCGGCCGCCTTTGGTAGCATCCAGAAAGGAGCAATTCGGAAAATAACGAGCCTTCATCACTTGAGCCCACAACGAGTCAGGTTCAACAATCAAACGCCAACACTGCTTGGTAAGGAGAACATCATTGAAATCCTGGAAGTTTCTGAAACCCATGCCACCCAAATGTTTTGGTAAGCCCATAGTCTCCATATATACCCAATGAGTTTTTCGTCTCCCACTAGCATCATCCCACCAAAATTTAGCAATCAAAGCATCCAATTCCTTACATAGGATAATAGGAAACTTAAAAATATTCATAGGGTAAGCGGGAATGGCCTGGACAACAGCCTTGATCAACACCTCATTTCCTGCTTTAGATAACATGCTTTGCTTCCATCCTTGTAACTTCCCCAAGATCCGACCCTTCACATAAGCTAATCCTTATCTCTTCGAGCGACCCCAAATAACAGACACCCCCAGGTAGGTACCCGGGTTTTCCACAACAGTCATTCCCAAAATGTTTCCCAATTCTTCAAACAAAGTCGAATGAACGTTGGACCCAAAGAAAACACTAGATTTCTGCATATTAATAGCTTGCCCAGAGGCATTGCAGTAATCTTTTAGGAGGTCAACCAAGTTATTACAATTCTTCCTATCCGCCTTAAGGAAGATTAACGTGTCATCTGCAAAAAAAATGTGTGAGATGACCGGACCAGACACACTCAACTTCACCCCTTCCAATTGTCTCCTTTCAACAGCCCCCTGAATCATTCTGGAGAGAACCTCACCCACCAGGAGAAATAAGTAAGGCGATAGGGGATCTCCCTGACGAAGACCACGAGAAGGAGCAAATTTCTCACCAGGTTGTCCATTCAGAATGACCGCAAAGTTAACTGATGAAACACAACCCATAATAAGCTTCTTCCACAAAATCCCAAAGCCCATCCTTTCCATGACTGCATCCAGGAAGTCTCATTCCACCCTGTTATAAGCCTTCTGCATATCAAGCTTAATACCAACTTCGAACCTGCGCTTTGCTTTTCGAACTTTCAGGAAGTGAAACACTTCATGGGCTATTCCAATATTGTCTTGTATCTGTCTACCCGCAACAAACGCATTCTGCATAAGGGATATAATTTCTGTCAAGATAGGCTTTAAACGATTCGCCAACACTTTGGATAAAATCTTGTAAGAATAGTTGCATAGACTTATGGGACGGAACTGCGACACCATCTCAGGATTCTGCACCTTAGGAATCAAAACAATGTGGGTGGAGTTTAAATTTCTAGGGCTGTCCTGCCCAAAAATCATAGAGCGGACCAGATCGTTTACATCCCCCACAATATTCTCCCAGAACGTATGATAAAACACCCCTTGAAAACCATCAGGGCCCGGAGCTTTCAGACCACCCATATTTAGAGCCGCATCTTTGACCTCCTCTTCCAAGACTGGCGCCATAAGCATAGCATTCATCTCTTCTGTCACCGTCGGAGTTAAGCAGTCAAGAGTTGTCCCCTAGTTCCGAACCCCCCCAGACCTGAAAGTATTCATAAAATGCTCGTCCACCAGTCTTCTAACCTGATTGGGGTTTTCCACCCAGTCACCATTAGAGTTTCTAATTTTCAGCACCTTGTTTCTTCTGCGACGTTGAAGCGTGGTCTGATGGAAGAACTTGGTGTTAGCATCTCCCTCCCTTAACCACTTAATCCGAGAGCTTTGTTGCCAGAAACTCTCTTCCTGCGCCCATAGGGTATCAATCAACCTAGACTTCTCTATAATTTCCTCTCTATGCGCTCCCCAATTTTTTTGTAACTCCCCCAGTTGCTCCAACAAATAGTCAATCTGATAGCCCCTCATCTTAAATTTATTTCGACTCCACCGGATAAGATGAGACCGGCAGTCATTAATCTTTTTTAGCCATCTCACTTGGGCACACCCTTCTTCCCGACAATCCCAACTCTTCCTCACCACTTCTTTACATTCCATTTCCTTAGCCCAGAACGCCTCAAAGCGAAACAATTTCCTGCCCCTCCTAGCTTCTGGTTCGGTTTGGATAATAATCGGGCAATGATCCGATCCCAAAACCGTCCCGTGAGTAACCGTCGTATTTGGCCAAATATCTTGCCAATTCCTATTACATAATCCCCTGTCCAGACGTTCTTCCACCAGTGAACCGTTTCTCGTGCCCCGCCAAGTAAAAGCTGGACCATTAAAGTCCAGATCCAGCAGCTCAGAGGAGTTCAAAAATCTTTCAAGGTACTGGGGCCAATTGTATAGCATCTGAGATCCTCCAGCCTTGAGAAATAGTTTAACTAGTCAAAAGTAACCCACAACCAAATGTAACAAAGTAATACTTTGTTTACTCCTTATATTTTCGTTTATGGTGTTTAAGGACGTTTACCTATGTTCGATTCTCCCCCTCAATATAAAGAAAATAAAATAAACGAGGGTAAAATGGTTAACTAAACACTTGTATGTTTTTTTTTTTAGTACAACGACATATCTTATACTAAGGGGAGGGAGAGCTCGGTAAGCCACATAATGGATAACCTAATTTAGTGTTGAATTCGTCATTTACGAGATTCTAAGACCTCTCATTTACAAGTGAAGAGAAAAATTACCAGACTGTAATACCGAGTGTCTAAAACTAAAAACCTGTATTATTCCTGAGATTTGGAGAATAAAAAGTTACCATGCACTTTAATTAGGACGTTTCTCAAAGTTTGTCATTTTTGAGCGATTAGGAATTAATCAAGGCAGTAACTAACCGTCTAACGTGTGAGCAATTTTAGAGCATTGTTAAAAGCATCTGCAAGCCCAACCTAAGACGCCAAACTAGTCAAGATCAAGCATTCTAAATGCATAAATCATAACGAAAATCTGACCACAAAACATTCTCAGAAAAGTGAACCATCACAAAAATCCAGACTACCGAAACTGCATAAGCTATACATATTATGTCACTACCTTCTCCGTTGCTTAACGATCAATATCGAGGTTCCATACGCGGTACTTCCTGATACTGTATTTGAAAAGAAAAAAAAAATCACGTACACTAAAGAAATATGTACGCATATTGATCATCTAGTAGCAATACTTAGGGCATCAAATTGCTTTTTATTTATTCCACAAACGCTCATTACGCAAAGACGCGCATGTTTGGGATTGTTTTTTCGGCAGATTGAGCTAGAATTAACTAAGCACGCTTCGTCAAGACCACCATAACAACCATAACCGCCAGTCCCATGAACGCAGATGCTACAGCCGCACCTGTATTCCCTCCGTCTGCTTCAGCTTCAGCTGCAGGGGGTTCGAAAATGTTCTGGATGAATGACGACAAATCATTGACCCACTTATCCACTGTAAGCTTGATTTTCTGCATAAAACCACCGAGCATATCTTCCAAGCTGTCAGATTTCTCTGATTCGTCTTCAAGCTTCTTGGGTGAAGCTGGATAAGTTTCTGCAGCATGCTCTCCCGTGTAAAGATTATAGTTCTTGTTGGCCATAAATTGCTTGACCGCAGAATTTTCCATCATAGCATTCCAGATATTCGGGTCACTTGTAATTGAAGCAACAACATTCTGGGGGCATGAAACCAAGAAAATAAATCAAGTCCCCTAAAAAATCGAACGAAGAAAGTCACCGTAAATTCGGGTAGCTTAAAGCACTTGACATTTTAAGAAGAAAAGACACATGCTAAATTTCATGTTCAAAGCAACTGGATCCCAGAAAGGGCAAGGGATTGAATCAAATACCTGAGCTTCAGAACATCTACTCAGCATTTCAAATGCATGAAGAGCATGTTTCGGCACTGAAGTCCTAGTAAGAAGTAGGGATTCCATCTCCTCAGGTTCAGGGTTTTTTATCAGAGGCAGCCCAGCCGCATCAGCAGCAGCAGACGGTTCCCCCAAATCAGTAGATTTGGGCGAAGAAAGATACACCCTGAAAGTTCATGTACGGAACGCATGATAGAGCCAACATTAGTCTACAGATTATACATAAACATCAACAAAACGAAGGAAAACTCTTTCAATCTTATAAATTTGGCGCCTCGTAACAGTGCAACCGATTGCGCTTATGGAAGGGGGAAAACTTCTGATCTCCCAAAATACGAAATCAAGAAGACGTGTACAAGACTACAACCACATCACAGTTGGATAACAAGAAATTGTTAATTCCATTCAAAAACCAATAAACTCAAATATATTTTCTTGGCACCGAAAACCATTTCAGTAAGTAATTTCTTCCACATTCGACCAAAAAAAGGAAATTAATTTCTTCGACCATTCATGTTCAACAACAAAATCGGCTTCTACAAATACAAATATATCCCAAATGAAAATTCCCAAAAACTAGAAAAACACAATGTCAAACATTCTCTTTCTATTTGGCAATTTGTAATTCAAACAAAGCAATTCCACAATACCAGAGCAGAAATGTAAATTTCCAATCATTGCAAAAAAAAAGTAGATTTTCATAATTTTGCAATTTTCTTTTCTCGTTAACCAAACAGAGCATAACACAAACAACACAAAAAAGAATGGAAATTCATTGGAAAATAATAAACAAAACAATTAAATTAGTTTATCATTTGAATTGGCGGAGAATTATACTTATCGAGGGCATCTTTCAATTCAGCGGTGGCCTCTTTGGCCTCCTTGAAGCTCGGCGCAGCATCGAAGACAACCCTCGGCATCGGCTCGCCGCCCGACATCACCAGGTCATCTTCTCCGGCGCCGACCACCTGCCAGTCGACGAAGTCATCGACCGCGTCCGACGCAGGCTTCCCGATCGCTGCCACTTCACCTCCACCGTAGTTCTGAGCCGTGAGGGTCGCTGCCACGGGAATTGAGGCCTTGCGGACCGAATGACCAGTCGGCGAAGGAACCGCCGGCGCGCCGCGGATCATGCCGCCGATCCCGGCCACCTTCGCCACCGACCTCATGACTCCGCTGCCTCCCATAGTTTTCTGTGGCTGCGAGTGTGGTAAAACCCTGGAAAGTAGAAAGTCGAAACCTCTCGCGCGCTCTCTCTCTCTCTCTCTCTCTCTCTCTCTCTCTCTTTCCGATTGACGTTTATCGGAGGATAATCGGGATTTATAAGAATTTGTGGAGGAGAGAGGATTAAGGAATTTCCTTATTGTCTCTGGACTCAGGCACTGTTATCCTTGATGATCGCTGTTAGGCTGCCACGTGGTTATTAATATATTTTTGCGTTTACTTGTGAACTAAGGAAAACCTAGGTTTTAAGCTTACTTTTAGCTACGTCCTTGCAACTCGTTTTTAATCTCATTTTGTCTTTGTAACTTAAAAATTATAATTTTACTTCTAAAACTCATAATTCCCTCCACTTCGCTCATGGAGCTCGATTTTGGATCCCATTTTGTTATTTGAAACTCAAAAGTTATATTTTTACTATATAAAACTCAAAATTCACTTTATATTGCCCTAATTCTATTAATTCCGTTACATTGAATGCTAACCTACATGGGAGAGATAATATTTTCTGCTAATTTTTTTTATTCTATAAATCTCAATTTTAATATTTTTTTTATTATTGAATGTTAATGCATAATAGAGATTTATAATCAAATTTAATAGCGCATGTGACATCAAAGAAGCAATAGAGGGCGCATTTTTTTGAACAAATAATATACTATATATACTAAGGGGAAAAGACGGTGGGTTTAACTTCACAACGAGCTAACAATACTATGGTTCAAATTCGCTTTTGACGAAAATCGAACTTAAAATTTCTCATTTACAAGTGATATCATTAAGTGGCATAAAAAACCACTTAATACCAATAACTTTAAAGTTCTTTAAAGTTTAAACTAAAATTTAGAGGAGTTGGGCCGATCCATTTCGAACTCAACGGTTTGAGGCCATCATCATTGAGGTCTATCCCCATTGCCCTTTGAGCTTTTCTTTGCAAATAGCACCTCAGAGCATCATATTTTATAAACTTTGGTGAAGATACGCTATCTGCAAATGCGAGAGGAAATGCATACCTTGATCATGCAATTAAGTTGGTTTATAGATAAAAGAAAAATAAATAAATTAAAATGATGTTTCCTGCACCAAATGATTAGTCGACAAACCCAAGTTTTTCTTCCATCACCTAGCCTGCCAAAACTACCATGGTTGATGCTCTCAGAGAGGATCCAGCATATCCATACACGAGAGAAATCATCCCCACCAAAATATCATAGAAAGGAGACATATTTTTATTTTACTCATCTAGCTTTTTTTATGGTTAAAATGTTGATAAGTTGTAAAGAGCTTATAACTCAATTGGTTTTTTTTTCTTGCATCCGAAGTTCCGAATTCAAATCACTTCTTGTTAATTATTGTTTGTATATATATAAAAATAAAAAAAATTAAAATGGTCGACAAAGTTGAAATGGGAAATTATATATGTAAACGTGGTCTCTTAATCGTTGTCGCACACGACCCTTAAAATATGAAGGCCCGGTCCTGATCTCAACTATGTTCATGCCAATTGCCAAATGCCAATAACAACAGTGTGATCCAACAAATTTTTTTAACAAACGATATTATTTACACTAAGGAGGTGAGGGAGTGAGGTAAACCTCACAATGTGCTAGCAATAATGTAGTTCAAACTTGTCTTTAATAAGAATCGAACCTAAAACTTATCACTTACAAGTGAAGATGAATACTACTAAGTAATAACAAGATCAAAATATCGTCATCTTGTTTTTACATAGAACGACGAGATACGAACTTCAAAACAAACGTACACAAGCAAAATAACTAGGAAAATGACGCCCGTTTCAAAGAGTTCATTGCCAATGAAACACAAATGATAGTACCCAAAACTATTATCATAGAATTAATTAAGTTGGCTAATGCAGTATGCTTCACCGTACTCATCTAAGTTTGAATTTTCATTAAGAGAACAAAACCATTATTATTTCTTTCAAACCATCTTCATTAAGAGAACAAAAACAAAAGATTGAATAATTAGCCTCTATAATTTTGAATTTGGATGCAGATTAGGATGCAGATTGATGGCTTCAAAGTAGCACATTTACTACCTAGGTGATGAGAGATTTTTCATTGTGCCCAAAATACGGGAGTACATCATATGTCATTATTATGTGGTGAGATAATTGTGCTAAAAATTAACAATTTAAAAAATTAAACTTCCCTACCCTTATATAATTAGGAAAACTAATGAAAAGGGTTTGAAAACTTTGAGTTTTAATGATAAGGACAAAATAAATGGTAAAGTAAATAGTACCAGGATTGACTTTTCAGTGTAAAAATGTGGTTTTTCGTTAAAGTGAACAGTACTGAGTGCTTTTCGTTAAAGTTCTCTATAATTACACATGATGTATCATCCGTATTCCAAATAGAATAAAAATTTTCTCCAAGTGAGAGTTTGGCTGAGAAAATTTTCATTGTGACTGGAACATGGATGATAATACACCACGTGTTTTTATATAAATGGTAAAAATTTTACTTGTTAAGTTATTAACTTTTTAACACACATATCTTATCATTTATATAGTGACAAGTGATGTACCACTCCGTATATCGATCACACTAAAAAATCTCGGAATTAGTTACAAGGATGATCAATGAGTGCCCATGAATATTCACCATCATCTCCATTTTAATTAAATGGGTATACGTATACCATGCCTAGTCGGCAGCTTCGGCCGAGATTAGTTTAATAGAAAATATCATTTACGTCACATTTGCGAACTAAAATACAAAATCAGAAGATAATATATAAAACAAGGTCAAAACATTGCTATTAAATATTGGTTGAAAACAATAATTCTTGCCGTGCCAATTTAAACATGAAAAGATATTATAATTAGCCGAAGGGAATAAAGAAATTTGATCCTTTGCTTTGCTTAAACAAGATTAAGTGACAGTAGATATGGAATTAACAAAAAAAGTTAGAAGATTAATTAGAACCGCTAATCTGATTCCAGGAGTTCACATCTGACACCTTTTTACAAACTCCTCCATTTTTCCTGCTCAAAACCCTCTAACAATCTCAAGCCAACCTGCTCCTACTTAGTGCTAATTAAAATATTTAAACTTGCATTAATATTCTAAAGAAAAAGAAGAGGACAAAGTTGGGAAACAAGTTGGCATCTCCTCTCCCTATCTCAGACCCCAAAAGCCTTTCTCCTTCCTCACATGATTCTTCAACACACCTGCAAACAGTCACATGATTATTGTTAGGAGCTCAAGAATCAACTCCATCATCTTACATGCAGACTCTTAGGGATGTAGTATTCATAGAAAACGTGAGTTTGTCCAGTTGGTCATGATTGTACTTGTCCTCTTGCACCCGTATAAAAATCTCCGTACTCACACAGTATTTTAAACTCTCGCTTGTATAAGTTATATGATTTTAATTAGTACTATGCTCATAATATGGGGATTGAGATCCACTTTAAATCTGTGTCCAGAGAGCGCATACTAAGAGATCATGACCACTCAATTTAAATCATACGGCCCTATTAGCCTATCACACTAATCCACTTCACAAAAACCTAAAAACTTTTATAGTTTGAATATCTTTCTCTCTCTATCGAACGGTCCAGATCCCTTGGTCCACAAGCTAGTACACATCCGTAATATGGAAGGGAGATTATATTCACACATCCCAAATTACTTGTTCCACACCCTTTTAATTTTTTAATATTTTTCTATCAAGTGTTAATGGTGTGTAGAAAATATTAAAAAAATTAAAAAGATGTGAGAGAAGTAATTTTAGATGTGTGAATATAATCTCTCGATATGGAATGCTACTAGATAAAAGCCTAGGGGCTACACTATTGAACTATGTAGAACAATTCCCTCAAAAGATCAGCCAGCCAACAACAAAAGTTTGTTTCTTTTGTTTTTATATAGGAAATTTCTAGCAATATAATCATTTTTTGTATTCTTTATAGGGAAATTTGGATACATCATGTGTAGGAACAGAAAAAAGGGGCAAAGAAAAAATCTCTCTTTAATGAATAAAAGTTATAAAACAAACAAAGAACAACAAATGAAAAAACAAATCTCTCTCTCCATCATCTGAAACACTAACATGTTTGTCTCTGCAATATTTATGACCAGAAATGAGACATGACATGCGTTAAAATCCAAAAGAAACTGTTCAAGTGTTCAGCACACCAAAAAATAACAGAAACCAATATCCATAGAAACTGCAGCACATGTTACAAAATAACTGCAGAAACAAAACTTATAAAACATAATTAAATTAAGAGAAGTGATTCTGCACACCCTATTCTTCACCTACAAACTTCTGTCTATCCGTCATCGGATTGAATAAATTAATAAAAAATCAACGGACTGAAATAATAAGGGTGTGCGGAAGTCATCTTCCGAGACTTGATTACCTGAGGGTTTACAGTCAGGGGGATCCTCAAAGAGTGAGAGGGAAAACTGTTTGTGAGCAACCCCAATGTCAAAGAGGATGAGACCTGATCTTGGATCATCAACAATGATGTCTTTGACCGGCAGCCACAGAAAGAGCTCCTCCTGAGACAAACCCTGAACCCCAATGAGGCTGCCATAGCTGAGATTTGCCCTCACCACGCTCTCAAAGAAAACCCTGTTCTCATATTTTGTGAGGCATGGGGCATCAAGGAAGACCTGGAGCTCCCCATTGTCTGAGAGAGTGTAGGACTTGACCTCCTTTGGGAGGAGGCCAGGTGGCAGACCCTGGGAGATAAGGAGGTCGTGGATGTTGGTGGAGGAGAGAGAGAGGGGAAGAGAGACAAGGAGGAGAAAGGTCCATGGAAAGACTCTGAGGAAGGAGGAGAAGAAGTGGGTGTTTAACAGGGACATGATGGTGGTTGGATGGAAAATGTTTAGAGAGAGAGAGAGAGAGGATTTGGAGGGTTTTAAGGGGCGATGATATGTATCTGGGAGAGTTGGAAAGTTGGAAAACTGTTTATTAAAGGAGGACTGGTAGAGTTGGAAAGTAGAAAGACTGTTTATTAAAGAGCATGTGTAGTGAAGTTACTATATTGCCCTAGTTGGTGATTGCTTTGTTTGTGTGAGGTGATGGGGGCCAAGAAAGGGTTACTCTTCGAATCATTTCCACTAAATCTACCATACCAATCAATTCGAATTTTTGAACTTTGATCCAACGGTTAAAAATAAATTTTTTTTAAAAAAAATTATAATAACTTTAACCGTTAAATCAAGTTTTAAAGATCTGGATTGATTGATGAGATAAATTTGGTAGAAGGAATCCAGAAAGGATCCCCTTCCGGGGGGGGGCAAGGGCTTAATTGTTTTGTACTGTAGCACCTTATTATTATTGGCTGTCTTGCTTGCTGACGTACTAAATTGTTTCTTAAAGTTGTATCTAGCCAAGTGTATCTACAATTATACATTCTACACCATAACCATAATAAATATCTATTCCATTTTCTTCTTACCTACTAATCATGTATCTTATTTTAGTCTTAGTTAAAATATTTTACTTGAACTTAAATTAATGTTTAATTATCTGCAAGCTTTTGTAGGTACAACTTAACTGAGTTACGTCTTTAAAAGTTTTTAAGACGTTCTTGCCTAAGTTTTATTTGTTGGTGGGCGAGTCTTAGCAATGGTGTCATCTGAATGATTGAACGAAAGATTTGGATGCATAAATTTGAGTGAAGTCGGTGAATATGTGTGAAAGGAGTTTGAAATAGAGAAAAAAATGTTGAAAATGATTGTTGATTTCAGGTAGAAAAGGGGATGTATAGTCAGTGGCGGATCCAGGATTCTAACATCGAATGTTCCTAATCAAGGTACACTAGACGCTAATTGGGTGGCGGGCTCGAGTGTAGCCCCTATGCACCTAGACGGGCATTTGCGTACTAGGATGATTTAAGTAAATTTATTATATATCTGTTTGGGCCCAAAATATTGGTTTGGGCCGAGTATGGAGTTACTCTCGGCCCAGAAGGCCATACGGCAAATGTGATATGGACCGTTCGGATCATGGGCTTTCAAACCTAAGTCGGATAGGTCATGTTGCAAGGCAAGACGAGTCCTGGTGCGATAAGGAATCTCGGCAGGAAGTGAATCCGGCTCAATAAGGGGGTACATACGGAATCCTAGTGAGAATGGGATTGGCCGAAAAGGTGTTCGATTAGGAGAGGAATTCCTAATCCGAGTAGGGTAGTAACTCGGCCTAGAAGGTATTTGATGCTATAAATAGAAGAGCTTGTGCATCGTGGAAAACCCCTTCAACTCAACACACAATTGCCCTGCGCAAACTCTCTCAACAACTTGAGATTTTTATTTTCCTTGTTCGCTGACACATCTTCCGTTGGCATCAACAGCACTGTGAAAGCAACCGGTGACATCTTAAGTCGGCATAGATAGCTCTGTCATCGTAGAATCAGTCGGTCTCGCAGTATCTTCCGTTGGCATCAACAGCACTGCGGTGAGGACGGTTGGTTATCTATCCAAGTCTCGGTCGAGAAGGATTTCTGAATCCTTATTGATTGAGGTCGTCTTATTAGCTTTCTCGGCAAAGTAAGGCGTTACATTAGGCTCGGCACATTGCACGCCGAGGTTGTTCATGATTGGATACTCACATGTGGGATTTAGAGTTCGGCATTCCAACGGCCGAACCACGTTCATTATCAAGACTTACATTCGCTTTGAGTACTTGTGCCCTTACACTCTGGTGTCAATTCGGCGAGAGTTTACTCTGACGAATACCATCACTGTGACCGAGTCCGACGACGACGATTCGTGAACTTCGTAAGAATAGTAACCTTGTCTTCAGGTTCGAGGACCCAAGAGGCCGAGACACGTTCCTTTCTCGGCCGCAATCGCAAGACGCAGAAGTCAGCCGCGCACCCAACGCAACATCAACAAATTTACTCCTCGGCCGACGAGTTGGCACGCCCCGCATTCATCGAAGGACGTAGTTAGCTTATAGATTACTCGGCCTGCGCGCCACGTAGGCTTTGTAGTTTTTAGGGTCAACAATATCATATAAATAAATGCCTATTTACACTTAAAAAAAATGGTACTTGTTCGAGAATTTATGTTTATTATTTAACATATAAAAAATATCATAATTTTCCTTTAGTATTTTAATGAATTTGATGGTATGAGATGAAAGTTCTAGTGATTATGAGTTCGTAGTACTTTACGAAATATTTTTCAGAAGTTGTATGAATTTATAGTGAATTTAAAAGAAAAATAACAGCATCAAACATATTGGTTGAGTAATACATCATCCTTTTATTAATTAAAATGCTAGGTGGCACAACCTAATTGGATAACAATTATAAAAAAAGAATGGAGAGTTGGTCACTTAGGGAATTGATGGTCTTCTTCTTCGTTAGAACAAGATCCAAGAACAGCAGAGCCATGGTGGTTTCTTCATATTCCTCCTCGTCTGAAAATAGATCTTTCTTCTTGGTTCAAAGCTTCTGTTACAACATCTAGACAACTGTAATAGTCTTCTCTCTTCCATCATCTACCCAGACCGTTGGGTGGTCATCGGAGATCCTTACCAGCATCTTTTCGGACTTTCGGATGGTCCCGAAACCACCCAAGTCTATGAATAGATCTGCCCTGTGTGTAGCACTGTGGCACCCTGCCTTGCTCAATTATTGGATGGGCAAAATCCAATACCTATAAGGAGATTTTCTTCAAGGCTGGGTGGGGAGTTGTCCACCCTTGCAATTGAATAGGTCTGCTCTTGTTAACTCATGGTTGATAATATCACTGTATATTTATATTGTTGAAAATATTTTCTTTTCGTTTTTTTCTAGTGAAAAACCTAAATAACAGAACTAAAAAAGAAGTAACAATAAAAAAAGGTAAGTAACAACGCTTTTAAGATTAAAGAGACCATATACGCGTGATATATTCCCAAATTCGTAACAATATCCGCAACAAAATTAGCTTTACGAAATACATGATTTCACATTGTATAATAAAATTTTAAGAATACCATCGTTTTGTACCAAATGATTCGTAGTTAACTATTTTTTTTTTCTTAATAAAAGCCAACTAAAGACTAAAAAGTGCCAAAAATAAAAGAAAAAAATTGGTAGTTTGTACAATCTTCATTTAAATACAAAAAATGTACCACAAAAGATCCCTAGGTGGTGCAAACAGCTCAGCCAAAGGACCTCCTCCTGGCCATTTCATCATAAAAATTGACAACAAAGAAAGTATGACTACATATTATGAATACTATTTCATTAACTAAACTAATAATTAGAAAAATACTAGTCTTTCAATTGGACTAATTAGAGTTTTTGGTTCTTAGATTTGTCACATTGTTATAACTTTGGTTCCTTGCTCTTAAAATCCTTTTATTTTGGACAAAAGGTGTTACACAAAAATATCATTAATCCACATTGTGACAAGTTTTAATTCAAATATCAAATTAAATCAAAATTCAGGAAACGATACTTGAACGTTTTCGATTAATTAATAACCAACCCAAAGTAACATACTATAACGTCAGAGTCTATTTGCGTTTGCAGGTCAAGCAGCTAAATGTAGAAAAGAGTCACTGAATAAATACTTCCATCTAAAAATTATAATTGAAGAGTGCTACCATTAGCATTTAAGAAGTGACGAAGCTAACATAGAGTCATTAGCTGCTTGTGACCTCAATAGCTTCATAACTCCACATATTTGTGTATGACTTATTGGAATAAGTTAATAGTTAGTAGAAAAGAGAATGTAAATATTTTTGTAATTATTAGAGTCTTGTTTTAGGAAAGGTATTATGTTTTCTTGTAACTAGGGTTGTACATATCCTTTTATTGAGAATTATGGAATACACAGAGATTATCCCGTAAAGTTCTATTTGGCACCAGAGCCAAGAGTAACCCTAGAACGTCCACCGTGCTGCTGCCATCGTGAAACCAGAAAAAGATCCAGCCGAGGTTGGATAGTGTCGCTGCATCCCTGCAGCAAGTCTGACTTTTTTGGTTGCTGCGTGCGTGTGTGTATTGTGAGGTTGTATTAATGGCAGGTAACAAAGATGAGACGGGTTTGAAGTTGGAGGGTGTGGCGTCTGGCTCCACTCGTGGGTCAGTTGTCAATCCGGTGGTTATCCAAAGTGATGCTTCGGCTGTACCAAGTACTGTAAAGCTGAATGGATCAAACTATCCTATGTGGTCCAAGGTATTGGAGATGCATATCGCGGGACGTGGTAAGAAAGGGTTCATGACAGGAAGCATCAAAGAGCCCAAGGAGGACAGTGTTGAGTATGAAGCTTGGGCAACCGGGAATGCAATTGTAAAAGGGTGGTTGATTAATTCCATGGATCCTACCATCATGGGTTTTTTCATTCATCTTCGTACTGCTAAAGAAGTCTGGGAAGAAGTTGCTCGAACGTATTATGATGGGTCTGATATTTCTCAGATTTATGAGTTGAAGGTGAAGTAATTCCGACTTCGCCAGGAAGGAAGACCTATCGGTGTGTATTATGCCGATCTCAAAGCAGTTTGGCAAGAATTGGATCAGAGAAGACCAATCAAGATGGAGTGTGCAGTTGACTTGAAGACAATCCGAGAAGAAATTCAACTGGACCGTGTGTATGATTTCCTAGCAGGGCTTGATGATATTTTTGACAAAGTACGTAGTGATATTCTGAGAACTCAACCTTTACCATCTGTAGAGGAGGTGTTCTCGGTTGTTAGGCGAGAAGCACAACGCCATGCAACTATGATGGGAAGTAGTGGTGTGGGGAACCAAGGAGGAGCTCCTTCCGTAGCCATGGTATCACGGCCACCATCAGGTAGCCGAGGGTTTAACCCATCTCCAATGGACAATTCTCGGCCATTCACTCGGGAAAACAAGGATGATCTGAAGTGCACCTTTTGTGGTCAAACCCGTCATACAAAGGATACATGTTTTCAGAAACATGGGGTACCCGAATGGTTTCCCGAATTGAAGAAAAAATTACGTGCTAA